TTTTGAATAATAATATTACCTATCATAATATTACTACGTTGTATTGTGTTATTCTTGGCCGAAAAGACAATAAAGTAATACTGTATTACTTGTATTGTCTTTGGCCATGAATACCAATCGTAATGAAAAAATGCTGCTGGTATGCCGCGGGAATGATTGCGGGCTGTAATTAGCCTCACGGGCCTGGAAATTCCCTTACCTTACAGGCCGGCTTGGCCTGTACATTTTTCAAACTATTTCTACCCTGTGGCGCAGTGTGGCTAGCCGCTGTCGCTGGAGTTGAGGTATGGATATAGAGGAGAGCCATCGCAGACGAGGAGGAATACGCCGAGCAGTCGCGGGCTCAACCTGCTGGCCACTGCTGTGTACCGCGCGGACAGACAACATTCGCGAGGGGGCAGCGAGAAAAGCCGCGCGTAGGCCATAATAATAAAAATATTTGGTTTGCCCTTTACCCCGACCAGGGCTTGAAAAAGTTTGGGTAGGTAGGGTCGCAGTTTTTTTTTAAGGCAGTTTTTTTAGCTCATGTGACCCCCATAGTCAGATGCAGCTTGTAGAATCGCAATGAGCGTCGTCCGTCCGTCCGTCGGTCGTCCGTCCGGTCGCTGTCCGTCCGTCAACAGTTGGGCACGGAATCTTAACCGGCTCGATCGTACGGTCACGATATTCGGGTCGTTGGGGGGATGTCAAACGAGTTGGGAATGTCGAAGCTGGGGGTCAAAGGTCAAAAGGTCCAAAGGTCAGAGGTGGTAAAGGGGGAACATTCACTCCTTAATTAGGTATAGGGAGGAAAATGCATACTTGGCGGCAGAAATCTAAACGGCTCGACTATGGCTCGTCGATAGTCGGGTGTATAGCATTATGGTAGGAAAGCCATCACTGCTGCTGAAATTGGAGGTCACAGGGTCAAAGGTGAATGGGGCAGCAGGGCTGATTTTAGACCATGTTTTCTGAGGACATGGTCTGCGAGCGATTGAAAAACTTTTTTGTTTCAGCGGTGGGACCTAGCTATTTTATGGGGCTTTATTGTAAGAGGAGCCATGAATGTCCGCTTCTGGCTGACATCGAAGAGCTAGTGTCTGATAACCTTTTTGACCGCTCAAGAGGAGGGTTAACATGGTTTTGTTGACTGTTAACAAAGGAGGAACTGCTTTTGCTATTAGAGGCCCCCTCCCCGCCATCCGCTCCCCTTCCCTCCCCCACCCCGCTCGCGGCCCCGCCGCGGCTTCCGCTCCACCCTCCCCCACCCCTCCCCCACCGAAAAAACTGCCTTAAAAAAAAAGCCGACCTACCTACCCAAACTTTTCAGCCTGGGTCGGGTAAGGGCAAACAAATATTTTTATTATTATGGCCTTACCGGGCTTTCTCGCTGCCCCCTCGCGATGTTGTCTGTCCCGCGCCGGTACACAGCAGTGGTAGCAGGTTGAGCGCGATGCTCGGCGTGTCCTCCTCCGTCTGCGATGGCTCCTCCTCTATTCCATACCTCAACTCCAGCGACAGCGGTAGACCACTGCGCACAGGGGTAGAAATTAGTTTGAAAATGTACAGGCCAGCCGGGCCTGTAGGTAAGGGATTTTCCAGGCCCGTGAGGCTAATTACAGGCCTGCATCATTCCCCGGATATCGCAGCATTTTTTTCTACGATTGTGTTATTCATTGGCCAAAAGACAATAAAGTAATACAGTATTACTTTATTGTCTTTTGGCCAATGAATAACACAATAAATGTATAATATTATGATTGGTATTATTATTATTACTCAAAATAAAGGGAAAATTTCCCCATCTTCTCAGCATTTTTAATTTTTTACTACTGAAAATAACTGAACCGAATGAACCGAACAGAAGAGCAAAAACCGACAACCAAACCGAACTGAAACAAAATGTATCGTTACACCCCTAATAGATAACCTCACCTGGTGCTAACAACCGTCACGATTCACCAGACCTGGGTAAGGAAGGGCGACCCATCCCTTTGTCGTTCCTGAGATCGACCGCATTCCCCCTCCATGTCGTACCTGGGTGACCCCCTCCCCCCTCATGTCATACCTGGGTGACCCCCTCCCCCCTCGTGTCATACCTGGGTGACCCCCTCCCCTCTCCATGTCGTAGCTGGGTGACCCCCTCCCCCCTCGTGTCATAGCTGGGTGACCCCCTCCCCTCTCCATGTCGTAGCTGGGTGACCCCCTCCCCCCTCGCTATCAGAGCGCTGGGTGACCCCCCCCCCTCGTCACTCATAGCTGCGGTAACCCCCTCCCACTCGTCTAACCGTAGCTGGTGACCCCCTCGCCCATCATGTCATACCTGGCGTGACCCCCGTCCCCCTAGTCATACCTGGTGTGACCTCCTCCCCCCTCGTGTCACGAGCCGTCGCCTTCCCTCTCCGTCGCTCGTAGCTTGGAGTGACCCCTCCGCCCTCATGTCATACCTGGGTGACCACTCCCGCCTTTGTACATACCTTGGTGACCCCTCCGTCGCCCGTGACCCTCGGCATACGCTCGACCGCCCCTCGTGTCACACCTGGGGTGACCCCCTCGTCTTCGTACATCTGGCGCGGGTCGGCGCGTGAATGTGACGACGAAGCATCTTGACGAGCTTCTCGCTCCCCGCTCCGCTTGAGCTCCTTCTGCACTGTTGCCGTGCAGCGATCCGAATAGAAGCGAGCGATCGCCAGCTCAGTCCTAGAGAACAACGCTCAAAGAAGCCGGCGCGTCAGAGCTGCAGCTGCGCGCACCTACACAGGGAGGGCGACACCTTCAGCTTGGTGAAATTTATTTTTACGGACTATAATAATATATATATATATATAGTATTTACTTATTTTGCATCTAGGCGAATCGCCGCGAATAGTCGTGCGACGAGTGGACCCACTAGGTGATAATCAGCCGATTCACTCGGCGATTTTCTCGACCGCTTACCTAGATTGATAGTCACATGATTTGAAAATGGCATCAGTTGATTGTGATTGAACTGTACATTCAGCGCGACTCATTCCCCGACCTCCGACAACCTAGCCGATTTAGTCGCCGACTGAAAATATCGCACCGATTTCGCCCGATTATCAAACATGTTGATTACGGCGATCAGTCCTCCCGAATGGAATTCGGCCGATTTACCGCAAATATCGGATATAACATGATGAGTCTTTGGTACCGCCCCCTTTTTTTGCTCTTATATAGCCACGTATATACTAACGCCCGATTTAGTCGACCGCCGCATTGTTTCGCTGATGACATTTATGGACCCAACCATCTCGTATATCAACAGGCTACACTGTGGTTATAATTACCTGTTGCCAGGAGTGACTGCAGCATCCTCATGCGATCGGGTGGTACGTGCGTCTCCGGGGCCGTCTGCGAGAGCGTCTGATCTAACGAGCTGCAATGACACGTCACACGTCAGCTTGTCAAGCTTCAAACAAAATGCCACCAATATAAATCTGCGAACACGTTCCTCGAATTTCACGATAAAAGAGAGATTCATATGATATCAGGAGTTAATAATGACAAATTTTTGTCATTATTAACCCCTGATATCATATTAATTTAATTTCATGATAAATCCATGTAATTAACCTGTTAAGAGGTTTAAACACCGTTTCGACAACCAGTCTAGTCATCTTTGTCAGGCTGGACGGACACAATGCGCCGCCCAAATTTGGAACGCTACCAATTCTGTCTCTCTTCTGTGGACAATCTTTACATTTTTACCCTGCAGATTTTACACTGTCCACCTCATTTCACATCGCACGCACGCGCACGCACGCGCTCGCAAGCACGAGCGACTCGTAACCGCAGACAACGGCGATAATTGCGGCGCGCGGTGATACCTGCTTCGAGCGAGGTTGCCGACGACCATGAGAGCTCCCATCACACCCATGCGCTTGTACTTGTGCTCGCCGCTCGACAGCTGCTTGCGCACGACTATCAGCAGGTCGTTAGCCGCCTGCGACTCGCGTGGCCCGCGCAACGCCAGCGCGCTCAGCACCCAGTACAGCTTCCTGATCTGAGGCAGCGATAGATTGTCCAGGTAGTCGAGGAGACCCTGAAAAACAGAATAAATACGAGAGAGAATAAATAAGACTCAGGCATGAGAACTTGGGGACTGTCAGTATTGTCCGTACAACACCAAGTTTAGGTTTATCTTTAATAAAACCGTTTAAACTTTAATATTCCAATGAGAGAGCAGGCGGTGCAATTTTTACCGTGACAAACATCGAGAATTTGACAATCCTTTGCAGGTTTTTTTCAACAAGGTCACGAAGAATGTCGAGGGATGCGTCGACCTCGCTCGCATAGCCGCTGCCGATGTGTGTGACGAGGGAACTCACAATCTCCTGTCACAGAGAAAAACACACGTTTACACAGGATGACGTGCGCGTTCATATGCACATGCGCGCGCGTGCGTACATGTGTGTGCGTGTGTGTGCATACATGTGTACAAGATTGAATAGATTATGATAGATTATTATTCACTCATATACGTGTATATGTGCATTTATATTATCTAGTGAATGAATGAGTTCATACATGCATGTGTGTCCATATTCTGCTCGAAAGGACAGCTGTTCATCATATCTGCTTTCACATTCTCGATCGTAATTTTACCTCACGTGATTTAATACATCTTTGTCGCTTAACAATCACTAGCTCTCACCCATTTTTTTACATGCGACTTTTTACATATTTTAGACTTTCTCCGGTAGGTTTTACATCGTTGGGTGTATGCCCCTATAACCACCAGCTCGTACTCCTACTCACCTGCTGGCAGTATGCATCAAAGTTCAGGAATGCTTGCGTGTACATGGAGCAGGCGAAGTAGCTGATAAGCGGTTCAGCCGACCGCAGCAGCACCTCAGCAACAGCAAGCACCGAGTGAACATACTCCCTGACAACCTGCAACAACAAACGCACGATCATAGCATGACATACAACACGGACGCACAGTCTAGTTGCAAGCAGCAGGACGAGCTATTACCGAGGCGTGGGCTGCGAACGTTGACTGCAGCAGCAGCTCCGTGAAGTGTCCACGTCGGATCTTGCTGCGGAAGAGGCCCTCGACCGCCTTGCCCCGCGTCGTCGTCGCGTGCAGCATGAGCAGCACAAGCAGATCGATGATCTAATTGAATAATTTCATCGGATCTCTATAGTTCACATGTGCATAAAGTTTAGATCCGTAAAATAAGTTATAATTACATACAACGACAAAATTTTCGTTCATCTCTCCGATAGACTTCCTCAGGTATGATGTTTCCAGTGCTGCAATCTACCTTGAGACATCAGACCTGAGGAAGTCTATCGGAGAGATGGACGAAAATTTCGTCGTTGTAAGTAATTATAACTTATTATGGATCTAACCGAGATACTTTATTTATATGAGATCGATTATCTGCGCGAGAACAAACACAACGTTACGCACATACCGCGCAAGTTATGCGTGATGAGAAATCAAGTTCAACAAGAGGAGCAAACATTATTGCTGTTACCACTAGCGTGAAGGGCTGGCATTTTTCCAACGTGACTGACCTTCTAACTAATATAACAATAAGTATTCTATAAGTAACAAGACAGCAGAAAGAGTGAGAAAAATTACCTTGTGATTGGCTGCCGTGGAAACATTTTCAATCGCCTGTATTGAGACAAACAAAATAACATTATTACGTGACGGCAATCCAATTTTGTTCAATTTATTCCATTATTAATAAAAGTATTAGCTTTGTGTTTATTAGGCATACTCATAGTATCTCAGTATTTAATTGCTATCAGTGGCGTTCTAGCTACTTGTTTGGCAGAAATTGCTGGAACATGATTTACTTCTTAGTATAGTCACTAAGTAAAAACTAGTCAGGAAATTGGTAAATATTGTTGATATAAAGGCAAGATAGGCAAAATTTTGAATAGGCCAAGTGGACTGATTATATGGGGGGTTGAACCGGCGGCTGCCGGCAAAATAGCGCTAATTTCACGCACTGTAATATTATATAATACTATAATAGTTTATTTAACTATATAAACACATACACATATGGACAGCAAAAATACTAAAATCAACTAGCCCCAGCGATGGGGAACACAGACCACTCACCTTAAACCATGCATCACCGACCGACTTCTGGAATCGCACAGACGATTTGATCGCATCCAAGATGAGGAATTCAGACCCCCTCTCTGCTTGGTCCTTGGCCAACATCTCCTTCTCGGGAGTGGAGGAAACTGACGTAGAGAAGATGGTTTCAAAGTCCAACTGCTCTCTCAGCTCGGCAACCACCTACGAGCAAACATTCGACGTCCAACAACAACCTTAGTGGACCATCGGTCCATCGCTCTCTCGATCCCAACCTGCTTACCACCAATTAACATGCAGCTTTAGCCAATGAGTGCCGCAACAGGATATTCTACAAACAATTCTTAGTGACAAAGTGCCACAATCTCAACGTTTTGGCATGCAAACGTGCAAGTACACACGCAACAATCTTATAGGAGCGTGACTCACAGTGAGGGCTTTCTCCGGCCGCTCGCACGCGACTCCCTGCAGAATGAAGCGCACGACTACAGCAAGGTCGTCCAGCCGCACGCTGGCCATCGTCCCCAGTACGCGCGCTCGCACCTACAACGCAAACACACCGGTCAAGAAAAATATAAAAATTCAAATATGATTGAATAATTTCATCGGATCTCTATAGTTCACAGTTTATTTTTATCTAAAAACTCCAGCTAATACGTGTAAATATTACTAAAACACATGTAAGAAATGCAAGCACAAAATGATTTCACTAGCTTAATTATATGATCTTATCTTATCTATATTATGATTATATTATCTTATTATCTTGTATTATATTATCTTATATGATTACCATATATATCTGATTATCTTATCTTATATTACGAAGAACTGAATAAATTTGTACATAAGTTTATAATATTCGGATAGTATACGGAAAAGACGAAGCAGACCCCAATGGAAATCCGAATGAAAAGAAGGAAATGGGGCCGAGTGGGCCACACACTGCGGAAGGAAGCGACCCACATAACACGCACAGCACTGAGCTGGAACCCGCAAGGAAGACGTTGGGTAGGAAGGCCTAAAGTAACCTGGAGGCGAGACTCGGAGACGGAGCTCAAGAAGAAGGGCTACAGCTGGAGGGAAATGGAGCGGAAGGCGACCAACCGAGCAACATGGAGGGAGTTCACAAATGACCTATGTCACCCAGGAGACTGAAGGGTGAGAGAGAGAGAGAGAGAGAGAGAGAGACAGAGACAGAGACAGAGACAGAGAGAGAGAGAGACAGAGAGACAGAGAGACAGAGACAGAGACAGAGAGAGAGAGAGAGAGAGAGAGAGAGAGAGAGAGAGAGAGATACAGAATTTCATTACCTCATCCAGTAGTTCGGGTTTAAGATGCAGGTTAGAGAGAGCATCAAGGATGGGAACAGTCAACTCGCTGTCTACAAGAAGAATCTCACTGAAAACAACACGATTAAGACTCTATGAATTCATGGAAACAGACACAGCAATCACAATAACATACGACATATATATTATCCACACGCACGCATGCACATAATATAGTAAACTATGATAAACTAGAGCATGGGAGCACAGAAGTACAGGAGACAAATTCAGGGATGAGATTGGATAATTTAATTTTCAGCTGAAATTTTAATTAGCAAACAGAGGAGCGAGCAATGCGAGGACCGTAGGTCATCGCAAATTTTTTTTAAAAGAATGGTGCAATTTGGTGCATTCTAAGCTATTCTGAACAAATTATAGGAGACTCTTGAATCACCTTTTCAAGTTGTCAAAAGG